TTTTTTTAAATAAATATTTTATTATTTTTATTTTATGTGTATGAGTGTCTTGCCTGCATGTATGTGAGTGCACCCGTGTTTGTGCAATGCTATGGAGGTCAGAAGAAGGCTTCAGATTCCCCTGGAACTGGAGTTAAGGACGGTTCATAGCCACCATGTAGGTGCTGGGACTCAAACCCGGGTCCTCTGCTAGAGCAGTCAGTGCTCTTAACCACTGAGCCATCTCTCCAGCCTATGATATATTTTCTTATAAACAGTACTAATTTAAAAATAATGTGCACACCTGTAATCTCAGTATTCCGGAACCTGAATCAAGAAGATCAGATTCCTGGCCAGCCTGGAGCATATATTGTGACCCTACCTCAAAAGAATAGATAAACAATAGATGACAGATGATAGATGATATATAGACAGATAGATGATAGAAGATAGGTGATAGATAGACAGATAGATAGATAGGTGGTAGATGATCGATGATAGAGATAAATTGCCTTCCATCTTTTTTCCTGTTTCCTGAGGCCTAGAAAAGACATACGATAGAGATTCATCTTTAACTGGTGTCCTAAGCCATGCCATGGCAGAGCTGCATGACAGATAGGCATGGTTCCTGGAGCAGCCCTACGAGCAGAGTGCCCATGTCTACAGCAACTAATTGGCCAGTTTCATGACAGAGAAATAAAATTATATTTTCTGTTAAGTACTTTAGCTTTTCCTCATTAAAGCAGTGTCCATTATCCCAATTAATACTATATATGTGAAGAATATGATATATGGAAAAAAGTTACAAATTAAAGCTGTCACCTGGAGACCTAAACTAAAGCTGTCATCTGGAAGAGCCTAAAGAAGGTGGTCACAGAAAAACAAATAAAGGGTTGCATCAGGGTACTTTCTGGAGGAAGGCAGACCATGTGAACTTCCGACAGGAAGCCTCTAGGTAGCCAGATCAGTGATAAGGTAAGGTGTGAGGGGGTGTTCTTTGATTTTTGTTTTGCGTTTTTGAGAAACGATCTTATTTGTATTGTTGGCTAGCCTGAAACTCAGTGTGTACCCCGCCCCCAAACCAGGCTTTGAACTCATAGAGCTCTTCCTGTATCAGTGTCCAGAGTGCTTGGATTATAGGTACATACCATTGTTTTTCTGTCTGTCTGTCTGTCTTTCAGTTTCTGTTTTCCATTTTGGACTGTCTTGGCTTTTGACATCTAAAAGGCTAAGAGCAAGTACCACTGAAAGCATTTAATCTACTTTAAAATTTCAATAAGACCAATCAGTTACAACACTTCATAGAAAGCCAGTAAGATAGGTAGAACCAGAAGAGGGTATATTAGCAGGGGGGGGGGTGGTGAACAATAGAAATTGATGAGAGATTACAATTGGTGTCAAAAGCAGAAAAGGAAAAGAAGCCAGAAACAATTCAAAGCCTGAGAGGCCAGTAACCACAAAATCATGAAACTGTTGCCAGTTAACAGTAACTCGGAGCAAGCTTTGGGCAGCTGAAGAGGATGTAGAATTTGGTTTCCTCTGTTACCTTTGAGTTGTATTTTGGTTCTATTAAGTTTTGAACTTCAACTTTATACATTTCAACTTCCACCCTGATAAAACTAGCTTCTGGAGATGATTTTCTAGCTCAGCATTTTCTTTTCTCACCTCTAAACTTGTACAGAAGTCTCTCCTTGTGCTTCATCTTCATGTTCAAATTTCTGCAGGAGCCTGGGACCCAGCAAACCAATCAGGAGACTTCCTATTGGTGCTGTGATGAGGATGGCCAGAAATGCCATGGTTAACACATCCATTCCATATTCCTCGAACTGCTTCTCTCCATGTGATCTTGCTGTGTCCAGAGCCACAGATCCTATTGCAGCCTGGGAAAGATTCAGCATAAGGTTGGAAACATCATAAGATATATATATATATATCCATTTTTTTTGTCTTTTTTGAGACAGGGTCTCCTTGTAGCCCCAGCTGTCCTGGAACTCACTATGGCTGGCCTCAAACTCATAGAGATCCACCTGCCTCTGCCTCCCAAGTGCTGGGATTAAAGGCACATGCCACCACGCCCAGCCCATAAGATACATTTTTAAAAGTGACTTATTTGAGACAACACCTTGCTTTTTCTTTTGCTCAATCGAGTCCTATCAGTCTTCTTTCAAAGTGTACTGCAGGTTTTGATTATCTACAGATTCTCCTGCTCTTGCATGGAGAGCAGCCCTGCCTTCTGCAATAATTATGCCCGATCCATGCACACATCAGGTACTACATTTCAAAACACTAGGAAGAAAATAGACTCAGTATTAATCAAGTATTGTTGTACACGCTAAATGTCTTTTGAGTAAAGATGAAAGCTGCTGCTTTTTCATATTTTATTTTAATAACTTGCATTAAGAAAGAAAAAGCTTGCAAAGTGCAGTGATATTTATTAGAAGAGGGTGGAGTTTGAAATTAGTTTTCTCTGAGGCATAAACTAATAGTATGAAACATGGAGGTGGACATATCTTTAAAACACTCTTAATCTTATTAGGTATTTGGTGAATTCTTTGCCCCAGGAGTTAGTAAAATGTTTCATTTAATGTGTGTCTATTAGAATGTATTATAAAAATTTTCATTTTCTTTTATAGGCAAAATGCATTATTATTAGTACACACGGGGAGAGATTAATAAGCCCTCTGATTGACTCCTTGTTCTGCAGAGCAGAACATTTGCTCCTAAGATAATAAAACAGGAGAGAAAATGTGCATCAAGCACACAATGACAGAATCTACCAATTGCTCACACATGTCTGAACGCCCACCCCTTCTCCCTTCTGTAGCAGAACTGCTGGGCGTTAGCTGGTCATGTTGCTGAAAAAAGAGAGAACTCATGCTTCCAGTCTCTTCTGCAACTAGATGTAACTATGTATTTAAGTTCTGGCTACTAAGTGATAAGCTGGAGATCAGAAATGTATCATAGACTGTTACTCAAAAAGGAATGGACACATGTATTCAGCCCTCTTCCCACTGGATGAAAATGGTACAAGGTTGGGGGCTGAGAGCTGTTTTGAAATGTCCATGCTAGGCTACTGGCAAGACAGAAAGAAAAATCTAGCTCATTCAATCCCTGGGTTATTTGTTATGCTCTTTGCTATTACGGGTTACCCTGTGCAATAAGTAATTCAACATTTTGTGAATTTTGGGTAAGAACATCACTTGTTAGATTGCAATGCATATTTCTCTTTCAGTTCTCTATTTTATGCGCATGTTTATGTATGTTCTAGGGTATATGTATGCCAAAGTTTGATTTAAAATATATCTCCTATGACAGATTATAAGACTAAAACATTAAAAGCATATACAAATAAATGCATCATCTATCTATCATCTATCTATCATCTATCTGTCTGTTATCTATCATCTATCATCTGTCATCTATCTATCTGTCTATTCTCTGTCTATCCATGCATACACACACACACACACACACACACACAGACTTTAATTCCAGCACTCAGGAGGCCTGGCAGGTGGATCTTTGTGAATTTGAGGCCAGTCTGGTCTACATAGTGAGTTGTAGGCCAGCCAGAGCTAATACAATGAAAGCCTATCTCAAAAAACAAAAACAAAACCCACCAAATACAGATACAGACACACAGACACACGCACACCTTATTTCTTATGTAGTAAGATACAATAAGACAAAATAGCCTTCCTATATGTTATTCATATATAAATTCAACTAACTGCAGCTCAAAAATTCTTCAAAAATTTGCATCTGTATGAACATTACAGATTTTCTCCCTAAACAATACAACATAAGGACTATTTACCTTGTATTGGATATTACAAGTCCTTTAGAGATAATTTAAAGTGCATAAGAGATGCTTAAGTTATATGCAGACAATGAACCTTTTACACAAGGATCTTGAGTGTCTGCAGATTTGGAATTACGGGGGTTCTGGAACTACTGCCCATGGGACTGAGGATGACTGCCTCCACATGAGAAACAGTGTTCAACCCACCCTTCCTTCTTAACCTAAAGACAGACCTCATGGCTTCTCTTCGACATCTACAAATCACTATAATCACTATTCCTGACCATTGTGGCCATTATTAAGTAAAGTAAGGATCACATGAACATAGCACTAGGATGCTGCAGCAGTTTTTTGCTAATTAAGACAGATACAAAATGATTAACAGTGTCTGCAAGATGGATATTCTTGACAAAGGCACACTCATGTCCCAGGCAGTCAAAGCAAGATGGAGCAGGTAGTGAAACACTTCATGGTGGTACTCAAAACAGCATGCAATTTAAAATCTAAATGCTATTTCTGAAATTTTCCACTCAACATTTTTGGACAGTGGTTGTCACAGGTGACAGAACCTACAGAGAGTAAAACAAAGGATGAAGTGGGACCACTGTAGATCATCTCCTGAACCTTTTCAATAAATTCTCATTCCATTATCTACAAAGATCTGGTCACATGTAATTGATCATCAGTCATAGTGCCACTGAAGGTTTCCAAACATTAAGATGAGCCATGCTTGCTTGCTAACCCTCTCCCTTCTTCTCCTTCCTTCCTTCCTTCCCTCCCTCCCTCCCTCTCACTTTCTCCCTCTCTCCCTTTCTCTCTCTCTCTCTCTCTCTCTCTCTCTCTCTCTCTCTCCTCCCTTCCTTTCTTTCTTCTTGGGAGATTTGAAATAAGAAGCATTAAGCACTGTCTTTTGAGGTGACATTATGTTCCACTGATAAAAACTCACTCAAACACTTGCCTCCACAGCTCTCTACTTGCATAGGGATTTCTGGCATTCTCACCTTTACCCTGGTGACTTAAAGAAATTTAAATGAACCATCACACTTATATATCAATATATCCCCAAAAGAAACTTCTAGAGATTGGTGTAAAATCTTCATCCAACTCTGCAATCATTTACTCTTACTGCAATCATTTGCCAATTATTCACTTTCACCAAATTTAGATAAGTCTTCTTATTTGATAATTTGAGATGTCATACAGAAATAACAGTTGCAATGATTCGCTTTCCTATTGACAATTACCTGAACTGTGGCCTTCGGAAGCCATGCAAAAGAAATAAATATCTTTTCCTTTATGTTAAAACCAGCAAAACACACCATCATAAATGTAGTCAGAATTCGTATCAATACCGCAATGCCCAGGGTTGCGACACAAAGGCCTGAAAGAAACACTCAATGTTTAGGAATAATGAAATAATAGTGGGGAAATTACCTTTCATGTCTTGGTACCTACTCAAAATACTATCAATGGGAATAATGTTAAAACATTAAAGGCAAAATAAAAATGGTTACATATAATTTATCAAGAAATCAACATGAGAACAAATCATACCATTTGTTTAAAATATTTTCCTTAGATTAAAACCAGAACTTAAAACATATTTGAACTCTTACAAAGGACATTTAAATTAGATGGTTACACATCTATCTTCCTCGAATTTTGAGAGTCATCAAGCCAAAGTCAGTCGTACATTATGCCTCAGCGTGTACACAGTGCCTTACATACTTTATAGAAAGATCTACATTTTCTTGTATGCTTTTATTTAACAAGACTTCATTAAATGGTATAATGCATGGCAAGCTTTAAACTAGGTACTGGACACACAAAATGCATACTAGACAGAATTTGTTTTGATGAGTCTCAAAGCTGAAGAAAACAGAAACAAACATCTGCTTCATATCACTGTGCAGATAAGTGTGAAGCAGGAATAGAAAAGAAAAATCCAGTATTTTCATGAAAATAGTTACGAATTCTTTGCAGTATTTTTCAGCCAGTTTGGAGGGAAGAAGCCACTCAGACTGCTGGAGACCATTTGAAGCTCGGAAAAGAAAATCATTTTCTCAAGATTGATATACACACACTGCAGGAGGGTGTGCTATGGGTTCTTTGTGGGAAGGTTTAACTTTGTTGAATAACAGTTCTTCATATTAGAGTTTTCAAAAGCATCTGCTTCTTGAAGTACAAGATACCAACAAATTGCTTCATATTGTTTAAAATTGATGTCAGTGTTGTGGAAAGGTTAGAGAACTGACATGGAGTGAGGGGCATGGAAGGTTCTGGAAAAACACTGATTAAAACAAGTATTTAAACTACATATGCTACAAAGGAAGACTTAAAGGACCATGGAAAAAAAAGCAGAATTCAAAGAAATAATGTTGTTGGTTTGTTTTGTTTTTGAGAAGCATCTCCCTGTAGTCCCAGCTGGCCTGGAACTCACTATGTAGAACAGTCTGGCTTGGATCTTATAGAGATCTACCTGCCTCTGCCTCCCGAGTGCTGGGATTAAAGGCAAGTATCACCACACCTGGCTGAAATAATGTTTTAAAGAGACAATAGCAACAAATACCGATGACTGCTCAATAAGTCAAAGATGGAGTTAGTTACACAGTCTTGGTGAGAACACCACTGGTTGTGTAATGGAGCAGAAACTGTACTGAAATGTACTGAGGAGGGAATGGGAGTTGGTGTGGAAGACTAGAAGCAGTCACTTGTTTTGAAAGTTTAAAGGTAGAAGAGGGCACTTGAGAGATGGCTCAGCAGTTAAGAGCACTGGCTGCTCTTTCAGAGGACATAGGTTCAATTCCCAGCACTCACAGGACAGCTAACAACCATTCCTAACTCCAGTTCCAGGGGGTTGAATGCCCTCTCTTCTGGCCTCCATGGGCACTGCATGCATGTGGTGCATTTACGTACATGTAAGCATAACACTCATACACATGAAATACAAATAAAATAAATAAATTTAAAAAAAAAAGAAATGTGAGAGTTGGGTGTTGTGGCGCATCCCAGCACTTGGGAGGTAGAGGCAGACAGATCTCTGGGAGTTCAAGGCCAGCCTTGTCTACAGAGTGAACTCCAGGCCAGGTAGAGCTACAGGGAGACCCTGTTTTTGTTTTTTTTTTTTAAACAAAAGCTCCCCCCACCCCAAGAAACTCGGGATTAGCAACTTCTTCAATTCTAAAGAAAACTGTAGGAAGCACATCAAAAGACATATTCGGGGGCCAGGAAGAAGGCTCAGCGGGTAAAAGCGCTGGTCCCCAAAGCCTGATGTCTTAAATTGGATTCCTGAAACCCACTTAAAAACCTGGATGCCATGGTGTGACTCTGTAACGCCAGCACTCCTAGGGCAAGATGGGAGGTCGAGGCAAGAGATTCACCCAGAGTGTTCTCGCCAGCTAGCTTGCAGTGTGTAGTATAGCAGAGATATGAGGAAACAAGGTGGAAAGTGGGAACTGGCTCCTGAAACTTGTCCTCTGACTACCACGTGTGCCATGGCGCTTAAGTGTGCCTGCATTCACACACACACAGTAAGTAAAAATATTCAAGATGCATAAGAATAAGGGGAAAATGGGGCTGGAAAGATGGCTCAGCAGTTAAGAGCACTGACTGCTCCTGCAGACGACCCAGGTTCGATTCCCAGCACCCACATGGCGGCTACGAACCGTCCTTAACTCCAGTTCCAGGGGACTCCAAAGCCCTGTTCTGAGCTCCGAGACATTGCACGACATGGGTGCACTCACATACATTAAA